GGTTGGGTTGGTGGTGGTATTGGTAAAGATTTACAAGGTATTGCTGAACCAATACAAATTGAAGATTTACAAGGACGTAAAGGTTTAGGTAGTAATAATTTATTTCCAAATCAAATATTTATAAAAAATTTACGACGTATACTCGAAGAATTTATTGCAACAAATGATGATGATGGAGAATTACAATTTGCCAATGAATTTAATAGTGAAGAAAGAAAATCAATTCATAAAGAAGCTATGAAATTACATTTAACATCAAATTCTTATGGTCGTGATGGTGAACGACGTGTAAGTAAAATAGAAATTTTAATTTAAAAAAAAAATTTGCTTTTTTTTATATTCTATTTAATAAAGATTCGTATAACACAAAAACGTAATGTTGATCAGCTTGTTGATCATTTATTAACACATGGTGGTGAAACAGCACGATATGAATTAAAAGCTCAAACTCAGTCAAAACCAATTATCACACAATCATCACAACGTACATATGTACAAATGGCTCCACCATCGTCAAAATGGGTAGCACCTGATGCTTGTGATGATGGAACTTTATAAAAAAAAAAAAAACAAACAAAAGAGTTTTATTTAGATATTTGTTCAACATGCATATTCTTTATTATTGAACTAGTTACGGTTTTGTATACATTAAAGATTGTTTTCGTTGCGATGCTTTTTTCTATTTTTGTTTTCGTAGTATATATTTCGATGAAGTAAAAACGAAACAAGTTTAAGAAATGATTGAAATTTAAAAAAAGCTTCTTCTTCAGAATTGAACAGATAAGTAACATAATTGAAAAACAATATTTCATAGTTGAAATTAATTCTTGTATTTATTAAATTTACTGACTTCTGTGATATTGTTTTTTTCATAAGACAGATGAAGAAAAATACTTACCAAAATTAGAATTTCTATCAAAATATTTTAATTAAGGCACCCTCCCCACCTCCGTATAGAATAGAAGCCCAGTCATAAATTTATAATTTTCTAGGCATAGAAGATATCCACTGTGTTCAGAAGGAGCATTGGATAGATTAGCTTGTTGCTTCTCACTGCCTGCTTATATCTCACGAAGGGACGTTTTCAATTGGTCAATTGCTTTTGAATTTGAACTCTGTACATAAGGCAGATTCCATTGAAATATGAAAAATCTTCAAAGGGTAAGCCTTCTGTCTAGAGTTATAGGTATTTTACCGCAGTTTTAGCTTCCGTCATGGTACATACCCACAAATCGAATGGCAATATTTTGACCTGTGACTGTGTCCATAGACAGGTCTCTTTGTCAGTAGAATGCTCTTAACGTTCCACTTCGAAAGAATATTTCCTTCCTGACATATTAAGTTTTCAAAAAGAAGCAGAAAATTCTAGCATCTTTTGTGGAACATGCGTGATTTTTTGGACTTGAGTGGAATCTCAGATCAAAATACCATTATTCAATTAGTTGGAATATACCGTATCAGAAGCTAAAATTCCAGTAAAATACCTATAATTCTGAATAGAAGGCTGAAAGGAACTTATCCTTTTGAGGTTTCGCATATCTTACTGAAGTCTATCTTATGCATAGAATCCGAATTCAAAAGTGATTGACCAATTGAAAAGCTTTCCTTGTGAATTTCTTTGCCTATGCGTTGTATACATATTTTTTTGTCAACAGACAAATGAACTTCTTTCAAGAGTTGAAAAATATCTATACATAGGTATATAACTGTCTAAGAGCTATTGAAGAGTAATTAGGCATGCAACAATGCCATTCTATTACGTATTTTTCTCTAATGAGATTATGTACAATTCAAAAGCGAATAACTTACCAGCAATCTGTGTATCCATAAAAAAATGAGACTTGTCAAAAAACTAAACTAAGATCAGTACCAATTATTCCGAGCAGACAAAAAGCGGCTGTAAGAACGTTTAAACGCTTTGATTCATTCAATTCGTATTTAAACACATTTTTCATAGTTCTTGTTAAGTATATTTTAATTATAAACTGTTTAAGCGGTCCCATTTTGTTGTTTCGAAATGAATCTCGTTTAAATAAGAAATTTTCATTTTTGTTTAGATCATATTAAATTGATTAAACATTATATTTAAATGTTTTCTTACACCGTAGTTGCCAAAATACACTTCTCTAACTAAAACTAAAGTAAAAAAATTGTTGAACAATGAAAACATGCATTTGTAATTGAATAGACGGAAGTTTGAATTGAATGTTCTTCGCTGAATGCTTTTGACTAAAGAATGATATATATATCTATGAAAATGTATATTTATATCTTTAGCCTCAGTATTTTGTAAAAAGATATGTTAATTGTATCTTTCTAAAAAATTTACAAATCTATGAACATATAAATTGTGGTGAACTATTGAGGATATAATGCGAACTTCGTCACAATTTTCTGAGATAAACAATGATAGAATAGTGTGACGTGCTCAAATTGTCATGCAGCATATTGTTACATTCGTATTGAAGACTATAGAAGGTTAAAATATCAACAATTGATGATATTTTCAATTGCCCTATTTTTGTATAGCATGCATCACTAAGTGCTGGCATTGTTCTTCTGTCTTCTGACTCCTCCAACGTTCACACTACTTTTTTCTTTTCTTAGAAATGAGAACATCATATTTCAATAATAAGTTATCGATAGTGAAATGGTTCTATTTTTGCATTATTATAGCTATTTAATATAAGCAAGTGTGACTTTTCTATTTTATTTATATCTCTGTATTTCTTTCTTTTCTTTTTTTCTCACAATACATATACATTCATATTTCGTTGCATATAATGTTACATTCTCACTTTTCTTTTCGTTCTTTTTCATGTATTCGAAATAATCGAACCAAACGAAAAGAAAGATCATATTCTTTTGTTCCATATACTTTCTCATTCTCTTTTTTATATGCTCATTTGTATTATATTTCGTTTGTTGTGCAGTTGCGTATATTCAGTGAGAAAAAATTACTTTCGATCAGCAAGTTTTTTTTGAGTTGTGGATAAATAGAGAATTCACAGCAATAGTCCCAACCACACCTATCTAAACTGTTTGATATGTTCCAAAAATCGCGTTTAAACAGTCACAAGGTATTAAACAACTAAATGTTTTTAATCAGTTTAAATGCATTGTTGGGAACATATCAGACTGTTTGAACACCGTTTTTACCCTTTGCTTGCCTGCCTGAGTCCACGAGAATTGGTCAGATTCAAAAAACAAACACCATTTTATAATGGTATAACTTCAATTATTGTAACTATCTATATCTGCAAAAAAAAAGGAAGACCTTCATTATTATAGGCAAATGTTTACTTCATATCTTTGTTATGATAATAAAAAAACATGTCTTGTTGTTTTGCTTAAATCTACATGATCTCCGATGATGGAGTCGTCCGACAGTTCTAAATTGGTATATGTCTAATAGAAATTTTTTCTAAACTTTTTCAAAGCGTGGCAGTTTTTCAAATCAACATTTCGAATTAGTCGCAGTTTTTCACACTTATGGGTGTACACATATATGTGAAAGGAAGTGTAAAGAACACACTACTTTGTCGATTTAATAGTAAACAACTAATAGTCAGTTCTTGATCCTAGAAAACTATGATAACTACTGCGATTGTGATCAAACAACTAAAAAATTTGAATTTATAAATTTTTAAACACTTCTGTACTTGCAAGCGAATAAAATCTTATATTCAAACATATGATTTTAAAAACAAATTAGAACCTCCAATGATCTATACTATGAAGGAAGGTGTGTAATAATCTTTTTCATATTTCTACATATATAGCATCTCGAACATGATGTTCATCATATCGCGGTTATTACTTTTACCAGGACTTAATATAGTCATTAATTAGTCAAAGTCAGAAAAAAGAGATTTTTTTGAGAAAATGTTTTTGTTTTTATCAAATCTCTTCATATGATGACCTCTTCGAAGTGTAAATTTATGGTGGAGAAAATCATGTGTAAATGAAGAAAAACACCTAGATAAATATTAAAGTAAGCTCATGGGGAGGAGACGAAGAGTATATCACAGCTCTTCAATTTTCTTCTTTTCATGTCATGTTAAGAAGAAAAAAAAGACTGTTATCTTTACAACAAATAGTCTAAAATTAAACATTTTGCAAATAGAAAGCTTGATTAATATGTTAAGGTAAAGCAATATCTAACAATGATAAGACACAAGGACTTGGTCAATGATATCTTTTTTTTTCGTCAATAGAGAAAAAAAGGGAGTGGTTAATTTTTTTTATCAACGTTATACATAATATCGATATATATATATATATATATTTTTGTGCGAACATTTATTTGATTTTCTTTAAAGATAATAATGCGCTCATTGACTGTTTTACTCATATTATTGGCTATGATTTCTCATAGTCATGGAAAACGACCACGTCATTCATTGAATAGTTTTTATATTGAACCAACTGTTGGACAACCTTGGCCAAAACCACAATCAATTCGCACAACTTTTGAACAGTATGCTCTACATCCAGCTGCATTTCATTTTCTAGTTAATTCAACAAGTCAAACATGTGATTTACTTACAAGTGCATTTGATCGTTATTATAAACTAATCTTTTATCCATCTTCATATTTAAATTATATTCTTAATCCAAAATCAACAGATAATGAAATAAAATATAAACCAAAAAAAAGTTTACATGATCTTCGTGATGTAACATTGTTAAAACGACTTAATGTTCATATTCAAGAACCATGTGAACAATATCCAGCTCTTGAATCAGATGAATCATGTAAAAGAATAAAACAAAAAGAAAGGATTCTATTTTTTATTTAATATATTCTATTCTCTTTTACAGACACACTTACAATTAATGGTGATAATGGTATGCTTGAATCTGTTTCAATTTGGGGTGCTATTCGTGGTCTCGAAACATTTAGTCATATTGTTTATCCTGATGAAAATCTTGGAGTAAGTTTAATAGAAATCTCTTTTTATTTTATTTTATTTTATTTATCTATTACTTTCAGCTAGCTATTAATCAAACGGTAATCAGTGATTTTCCTCGTTTTCAACATCGAGGTTTACTTCTTGATACATCACGTCATTTTATTTCAATAAGAACATTAAAAATGAATTTGGTACTCAAAAAAAAACAAATTGATTCATTTTGTTTAAATCAAAATCTTTCTTTTTTCATTTCTTTTAATTTTAGGAAGCTATGGCTAATAGTAAAATGAATGTATTTCATCTTCATATTGTTGATGATCAATCATTTCCATATGAATCACGTACATTTCCTGATTTAAGTGGTGCTGGTGCATATAATCAAGAACATGTTTATTCGCAAAATGATATTGCTGATCTAATTGAATTTGCACGTCAACGTGGTATTCGTGTTGTTGTGGAATTCGATTCACCAGGTTTGAAAAATAACAAAAAAAACAAAAACAATTATTTTTCTTTGATTAGGTCATACACAATCATGGGGACGAGTTATTGATGTTTTAACCCATTGTTATAATGGAGGAAAACCAACTAATGAATTAGGACCAATGGATCCAAGTCGAAATTCAACATTTGATTTCTTAA